TTTGCCCTCCTCCGTCCGGGAAGACTTCCAGTACTTAAATGTTTTTTTGGTGGTTTGCATTTATATATAGTACTTATAACTCTGCCATGCCTACTTATAAACACGTCAAATAGAATTACAACTTGGCTAAGCAAAACCTTCTGATTTGCAAGTGCGCCTGAGATAGCAACTAGTTGTGAGGGAGTTTCAGCATTTACAACCAGAGATAGTTTTGGTTAGGGGCACCAGTCTAAGTCCAGTTATAACCATATTCTAACTGGGTTTAACTCCTGCACGATGACTTTTTATGTCTGATGTTTTTGGAAAAATTTTGCATTTTTTTGAAGAACATTGCAGGCTCCAAACATTGCAGACGCAATTCAACTTGCACATGTGTTCTTGCTGGAATTCAATGTTCATCTGCTGCCGTTTCAATGCTCTTTATTTGGGTGGCTCGCCCCCTTTCTGCATGGCTCGCCTGCAGACTTGGAAATTGAATTTCCACCATGTCATCATGGCATGCAGGTTATGGATATGGCGGCGGCGGCCAATCCAGTTCCTCTGGTGTGGGCCGCCCAAATGCAAATGATGCGCATATGGGACCGATTCCTTTGAAAGGTTCATCAGGAACTCTAACCTCTGAAGACAGAGCCAGAATTTTCGAAGCTACACATTGCAGCGCCTCGGTGGCGCCAACAATGGGGCCAACGGTGCCTCAGCATCACCGGACCACCAGAATACATGACAGAGGCCAAGCGCCTTGCCGATGAGGCTATTCAGAAGAATGGCACCGAGGGGGGGAGAAAAGAGGATCAGCTTGAAACCTTGAAGCAAGAGAATCTTGTTTTGAAGGCAAGGATGACAGCCATGGAGCTTTCCCATGGACAGCTGGTGACTCTGGCGCAGAATGCCATGAAAACAGCCTGCGAGAACCGACAAGCACTTATGGTTTTGCAGCATGACATGCTGGGGAAGGCTGCTCGCAAGCAAAAAAAACACAAAAAGAACCATACCCATGATACTGATGAAGAAGAGGATGTCAAGGAGCAGAAATTCCGCCCCATTCCTGCGAAGGTTGAAGAGCAAGACTCTGACACTCCTGGGGAAGTGAATGAAGAGAAGATGGAAAAGCGCAAGGACAGGACCAAGGATGAGCGCAAGGAGGTTCATGGGAATGATGAGTCCGACCACAAAGATGGGACCAGCGATGCAACGGAGCACCATGCGACCAGCGAGGACGAGCAGATGCGCCTGAGCCCAACATCTGTTTCTTGTCTTCTCAAGGTTTTGTGTGTGGATGGAAAGAAAGTCAAATAAATGCATAAAGTATATTATACATAAATTCATTTTGGGATAATGCGCAATTTTCCGTCGTTCCTTAACCAAACATTGTTGCCTCAGACATTTTTGATCACATCCCAGGACGCCAACAAGACAGAGTACGAGAGCGATGACGTCAAGAGTGAGCCTACGATTTTGCCTGAAGCTCAAGGCTTGCCTTTGACCTCCAAGGCTGAGGCTCAGGATGGCACTTTGGATTCCAAATGAAGAGGCTCGCCCTTCATTGGATTTGGAATAACGGCATTGATGGAAGAGTAAAAATGCTGCGGAGAATGCACAAGAACAGCCAGTCAAAAGTATGCAAAACCAGCACATGATTCAATGGATTGTTTGTGATGAATCTGACCATATCTCTCCGTAGCCATTTTCAGTGCTCAAACCACATATGCAGAAGGCTCGCCATATGCAGATATTGAGAAGGCTCGCCTCTCTTATCTGTTTGGTCATGGTGGTAAAGAGATTGTATGAAGAGACATGCGGCAAGAAACGGCAGCACTTGTCTGTTTCCATTTCAGCTGAAGCCCACATGTCAGGGGAAGCATCTGGGTCTTTTTCTCATCAAAGAAAGCGAATCAGGGACGAGATGACAAATGTTTTGGTGGAGGAGGGTGGCATGTGTGGCCCCATCTTGAGATCCATGAAGATTGACTTGGACAACGCAAACAGCGTCAGTTGGCACTACTTGCACCCTTGTGCTCTGTTGCACGCATTCTCAAAACGGCGTCCAGAGTTTGGTGACCTTCTACGGCATGTAGAAACACAACGGGTTATCATATATATGGACGAAATAACACCAGGAAACGTGCTTCGACCTGATCATGGAAAAAGTGTGGCTATGTGGTATTGGACCCTGTTGGACCTTCCCGACTGGTATATTGGAAGAAATGAAGGTTGGTTCTACTTTGCTGCTTTTCCAGTTAACCTGATTGGGGACGTGACTGATGGCTATAGCTATTTGTTTGCACGGATGGTGGAAATTTTTTTGGAAAAAGAAGAGCCAGTGAATTTCACGACAGGATTCCCATGCCTGTCTTCAGGGGGCATGTTCCTTTGCAAAGGAAATTTTGAAGCTGTGCTGTCTGATGAAAAATCCATCACAGCATTGTGGTCACTGAGAGGTGCCAGCGGGACGAAGCCATGTTGCTTTTGCCAGAATGTGGTGGGACACATGACCCGAGACAAGGTCGAGGACAATGCATGGTTGGTCCACTACAGCTGCTCATCTCCACGAAGATTTGCAAAGCACACCTCGTCTACATTTACAGAAATGCGTGACAAGCTGGAAAACGTTTCTGGGAACAAGCAAAATTGCCAGAAGTTGGGGCAGGTGTATGGGTTGACTTTCAAAAGCACTGGAATTCTCTGGCATCCCACACTGCGGGACAAAGTTTGCCCGGTGCGACAGACTGTCTATGATTGGATGCACATCTTGGTTGCCAGTGGAGGGGTGTGCCAATACGAATGCAATGAGTATGTCAAAGTACTCAAAGAACAAGGGATTTTGCCAGGACAGTTGGACGCTTTTGCGACGCAAGTTACTTTTCCAAAAAAACACCAACGGTTGCCCAAGAAGTTCTTTCAGGAACGTGTAAATTGGGAGGACAATACAGTTCTAAAAGCATTTGCTGGTGAAACCCTGCTGGTGGTGGACACGCTGGTCCTCTCCAACCGAATTGTTTTGGAACCTTTGGGTGTTTTGCAAGATCACCGAGAATGCCTTGAACTTGTAGCAAGCATCTTGGGCATCTTATCAGGCGGAACTGCTGCCCATCAGTTTCAACATGAATTGAAACAGAAGATTGCACGACACAACAAGTTGTTCGACAAGCTTTACAGTGAATGTGCAAAACCAAAATTTCATTGGCTTTTCCATGTGCCCGAAAACATTGGGAAGATTGGTCGCAGTCTTGCTTGTTTCAATCCAGAAAGGAAACATCGATGTGCCAAGACAGTGGCTGCCTTTGTGCGCAACCAGTTCTTGCAAGTGAATCTGGCCATGCGTATTGGAAATGAGTGCTTGGAAAACTTCAATGATCAAAAGATATGTCAAGAGACGTTCCTAGAAGGAAAAGGAAGGGATGCTTCGCAGTGGGACGACATGTTGGGACAGAATTTGGGCAAGAAGGTGTCTGTGAGAATGGGCAACAAACTTATGTCTTCTAGAGGACTGGTATCTCTTCACGATGCTGTCTGGGACAAAGACCAGGGGCAGTTGTTCTTCCCGACGAAGTTTTTGGAAGTGACTGACATATTGTCTCGACGAATAACCTTTATGTGTTTAGCCAATTGCCACAAGCACTCTGGGCAGGGTTCTTTTGATGGATCTTCCTCAGAAGGTTTGTTGGTTTGGCAGTCAGAATTTCAGACTGTGGCTTATACCTTGAGGTCCCAAGGTGTAATTCATGCGCTACTCAAATGATGCGACGCGACGTGGGGAAAAGGGTTATTGCATGCTTATGCTTTTGGCATCCGAGAAATTATCAGGATTGAGTGTTGGCCTTTCACATTATATAATTGAAATTTGTTTCACATTAATTTGATGAATGCTGTTTGGCTCTGCAAGAAAAAACCCTAGACTTTGAAGGCATTACCTCAAAAGAAAGACTGTGAAGGCTCGCCTCTACAGTATGACGGCTGAATCTGTTGCTCCCAGCTCAGCGTCAGAAGTAGGAGACAAGGTTGGTGATGCCATGCTGCAGACAGAAGAAGAAATTGCTGAGAACCATTGCTGCACTTGTCGCAAACCTGTGGATTATGAGAACAGCTTGGTCATTGTGCGGGCCAATGGCAAGAGTCCTGATATTCGACGATGCCGCAGCTGCCATAATGTCAGGAGTGCCATCAATCGCTTGACCAAGAACCATGGATCTTTGGTAAAAGACTTCTCCAAAGTGTCTGGGAGCAAGTTGGAGGCTTTCTACAAGGACCATGGCCACTTGCGAGGTGATGACCTCCGTGTGAAGGTTGAGGAAGTTGTGCAAGATTGGAAGACTTCCACCACACGGATTGAGTTTAACCAAGAGGCGGAGTACTTGGATGAAGATGCGCTCAGGAAAAAATATGTGGACAAACCTGAGATTGCAGAGAACATCATTCTCAATGGGAAGAGGTTCTTCTGCCCCGTCAAGAAGCTGACATTGTACGCAGACCCTAGCTACAAGTCAAAAGTTCAAGATGCGATCGAACATGGCACCTCTCACAAGCGCAAAGGCCAAGCAGCTTTGAAAGATGATGCCCAGTCTGATGAACCACTGCCCAAAAAGGGAAGGGGCAACAAGGGCAAGGCCAAAGGAAAGGCCGAAGGGAAGGATGACTCCAATGAACCAAAGTTGAAAGCTGGTGAGAAAAAGAAATTGACCAAAAAGATCGAGGCTGCTGTTGCCAAGTCTGCGGTGCTCAAGGATCACATTGATCGAGCAAACCGCTTTGGTGACATGATTCCAAAGTATGTGTTGGATGCTGGCCACAAGGTCTTGGGCGAAATGATGACCGTCACCCATAATGCGGAGGAGAAGTTGGAGTCTGGCACGGGAGCAATCCAGCCAGTGCTTGATGACATTGAGAAACACATTGAGGTGGTCAATGAGGCGACTCAGCGCATCAAGGCACAAATGGATTCTGCAGCTGCCTTCAAGTGAGCACGGGGCATTGTTAGAGCTGAGGACTCTCCCAGCCATTTTGATTTCAAAACCCGAGGTTGCATGTTGTATTTTTCAATGCAGCAGCAGCGAAGTTGATAGCCATTTACAAAGCATTGCGTTGGGGTGCAGTGGAACGAAAAGAAAGGCACATAAGTTTGCACGGCCTCGCTCGTTATGTAATACACACGTTATGTAACTATATGAGAGTATCAGGGTCGTATCAGGAGAGTATCAGGGGCGTATCAGGAGCGTATCAGGAGCGTATCAGGAGCGTATCAGGAGCGTATCATGGGCGTATCAGGAGAGTATCAGGGGCGTATCAGGAGAGTATCAGGGGCGTATCAGGAGCGTATCAGGAGAGTATCATGACTCATGACCATATCAGGAGATTATCATGATCATATCATGATGAAATAAAACCATATATTAAGTTTTAACTTCATTGATGTGATACACAGGTTATGTATACTGTATACTTCACAGGGAATGTTTCTTCAGTGGACGAGCCTCACTGAC